ATCATCCCGGACATGGTACCTGGGTGCTGGTCAGCCTCCCTCTGGTCAACTGCAAAGATGCAGGCCTGTTGTCTGCCACGTGGCTGTTGCTGGGGTCGTGGTGGTTGCTGCCTGGGCTGCTGTTGTTGAGGTTGCTGTGGTGGTTGGCATTGTTGCGGTTGTTGTTGCAGTCGTTCTGGACAGTTGGGGCTGATATGGCCTGGCTAGCGGCAGAAGAAACAGATGTTCTGGCCCACAAGGCATTCTCTGCGGTGGTGTTTTCCACATGTCTGGCAAGCTGGCGTTTGTCTAGGACGGGTCCTCCGATCATCAAGAGTGTTTCTGAACTTCCTCTTCTTCTGGTTCTTTGACGGTTGGGCAACTTTGGGCTGGGCTGGTGACTGTGCAACTGGCTGAACAACTGGTTGGGCTGATGTTTGGGTGGCTTCTCGTCTGATACTGGCATCGACTTCCAGTGCAATGGCAACTGTACGGGCATAGGTCTGGACGCCGTGACCTACGATGTTGTGGCGGACTGCTGGGCGAAGTCCGTCGGCAAAACGATGGGCTCTCTTTGCCTCCGTACCTACAAGATCCGGTACAAAGGCTCCGAGACGGGTAAACTCTCTCTCGTACTCGTCAACAGAACGAGTACCCTGGGTGAGTGCCAAGAACTGGCGCTCCAGGTCTGCTCGGTAATACGAGGGATAATACTTCTCTCGGATCAGCTCCTTGAATTGGTCCCACGTACAACCGTCTTTCTCGCCGGGACGCATACTCCAGTAGGCATTCCACCAGGCATCACCGGTCAGCTGGATCTGGGCACATAACATACGGTAACGATCAGGGCAGTCCATGACCTCGAAAATCATCTCGAGGCCCTGAACCCATTCATCTACTATACGAGGATCTCCTTGGTCGGAAAACTTTTCTGGTTGGTAGTCGTGAAACTGTGCGACTACTGTGGCCTGAGGACGTTCTTGGTGTTCTGGATCTCTACGAGGAGGCATCTGAACATTGAAATTTTTAACATGATTAAATAACATAAGAGATTAACTGACTAACTGTTTAAGTACACAAATTTCTTGACGAGTCGCTATATAACCCGAGAATACTAAAGTCGAACTATCAAGTGACTGAGACAATCGACTAGGTTCTGAAAATACTCGAGCATCTTACTAGTTTCTAGGGTCAAATATCTGATACCCTCTTACTGAGCATAGGCTTAAGTATTCGTTTAAATATACATAAACTGTAACTCAGCACTTACCTGTTCATCGGCGAGGCGTGAGCGTAGCGTGGTCGGGTCCTTTCTGAAAATTTCTGACTAAAAAAAGTATTCAGATACACGAAAACGTGCTCTGATACCAATTTGTAACACCCCGCTAGCTTACTAAAATGAGAGTACGATTTTTCGCAAATCCTTTTCTAAAGCTTACGTTTTAGTTTGGGAAACATATCTCGGGATGCTACAGAAAATATTTCTTTTCTAAAAATCCGTTAACTTTATAAATTTAATACCCACTTATGAAAAACGGGTTGTCTTTATAAAACAAGCGTGTGATACTGTATAAAATCTGAACCGAAGGCTCGGATCGTCGTCTGAAAATTTACACGCTAGTTTGAAAGTCTGAAAACATCTGCGGAAGTAAAACGTGGCAAATATATACATGTCAACAGTCTGCAAAAACATATACATATTTACGTGGACTGGACCGGCGACCACCAGCTCCACTCACTCCTCCGGACCGACCCTGTCACCTGAAAAAGATCATAATAGTGGGGGCGTGAGTACTAAAGTCATTGTACCCCGCAGAAACTCATACTGAATAAAACAATAATAATAATTGCATCATCATGATCAAACACATGTACATCTACTGCTATCTGTAACTGCTCGTCAACAGTATAATCTGGACGTGTCTGCCAACTGTAATAAACTTAGCCGGAACCATGTACACACCCTAGTGGTCAGATCTAGCTACAAGAGCTCGGAGTGGAATTACGCAAACTGGCCACCACTCTAAGCAGAACTGATATATACATACCTCAAACATAATAGCTGTAATTATACTCTATGTAATACTCAGTTTGAGTCCCCACCTGTACTGATAATGTAAGTGCTGCTGCTGATCACTCTGTAAAAAT